TTATTATTATTATTATTATTTGAAACACAACAAGATGAGTCCACAGCAAGCAAGATCAATCTGCTGGCTGTTGTATTGGATCACATGTTGGACACCACCCAAGTGTCTAAGACTGTGTGATGTATGGGCGAATAATGCGTGCAGATCCCAGTAAGGTGACCTTCTTCAGCTGGCAGATGGTAATTTTGTCAGCGCCGATCATGTTTAAGTGCAGGCCAAGGTCTTTAGGCACTGCACCTAGTGTGCCGATCACCACTGGGGCCACCGTTACTGGCATTATTATTAAATAATGTTTACAGCCCCTTTTTCTCTCCTCAAAGGAGATAAAACAGTTGGCCTTGTTGTATTGGATATTATTATTATTATGTTTACACCTCCCTTTTCTCTCCTCAAAGGAGACATAATAGTTGGCCTTGTTGGTTGTGAGATTCCGGGAGTTGTATTAAAGAACAACAGCCCTTTTCAAATAACTGTCAGAAGGGGCAATCTTAAAAAATGGAATTAGAAAATGTGCGGGTGTTCGTTTTTTAGCACACCAAAAGGACCACACACGCTCTCTTTGTTCCAGAGTGAAAAGATGAGATTAACCACTCTCGCCGAAGTGCCACTTTGGTGAATAGCAGTTTGTTTCCATCAGTTATATATGTGCTTAACAAATGAAATTCGATTATCACACATCAGTCAGTCCTGAGACTTGAATAGGAATCATCTATTAAGGTTGCAGTTACAGTTGAGGGTGGGATGGGGCCAGAAAGTGGCGGAAGGAGGAAGGAAAATCCCTCCGTCGTGTTGTTTTAATTCTCTGAATACAAGACTACAACGTTTGGGGTGTGCTAATTGTATGTGCCTAAAAACAAAGTGCCTAAAAACAAAGATAGAAGTAAACACAATATAAAATACATATGTATATATATAAGACACATATACAAACATCAGTTCAGACTCAAACAAGCTCCAATCTTCTAGCTGTGGCGGTAAATTACTTCCAACATGACGAGGGTGTAAACATTGGAATAAAATCAGTGCCAGCTGCAGTAATGGAGAGAGGTCATGGGATAAAGTACAGGATGTGTGACTACTGTGTAAGACAACTAGGGGCTAAATATTCTCAAAGGCTTGATTGAAGAGCCTCGTCTTCAATCCTAGCTTTCGTGTCCTAGCTTTGCTGCTTTTACCCCAAACTCCATAAGTGTTTACTAAAACTGAAGACAGACCTCACAACCTCTGAGGATGGCTGCCATAGATACAGGCGAAATGTCAGGAGAGAATGCTTCTGGAATATGGCCAGACAGCCCCATAACACACAACAACCCAGTGATTCTGGCCATGAAAGCCTTGGACAATACATTTTTGTTGGGCTTCAGTTCCGAGAATACCACTAGCGTAGAGATTTGGGGACTATGGTTTTCAAAAGCCAGCGTTTACAAACTCTGCCACCTTCCACTGCTACTTGCAGAAAATCTGCTGACTAGAAGATCGGCAGTTCGAAGCCGCGGGTCAGTGTGAGCTCCCACTGTTAGCCCTAGCTTCTGCCAACCTAGCAGTTTGAAAACATGCAAATGTGAGTAGATCAATAGGTACTGCTTCGGTGGGAAGGTAATAAAGGCACCCATGCAGCCATGCTGACAACATGACCAGGAGGTGTCTACAGACAACAGGCTCCTTGGCTTGGAAATGGAAAAGGAGCACCTTCCCATGGCCCAATTTGAGCATTGCTTCCATACACTGGAGATGGAAAGGGAAACTTTGCCTTTGTTTCTGTATTGTATGTTATTGTTCACTGTATAAAAAGCATTGAATGTTTGCCTATATAGATGTGTACACTTTAATCCACTCTGCGTTTCCTCGGGGAGATAAAGCAGAATATAAATAAAGTGTATTATTATTATTATTATTATTATTATTATTATTATTATTACAAGCCGTCCCTTGCCATGCGTTGCTGTGGCCCAGTCTGTGTATATGTGTTTTGTGTGTGTGTGTATGCATATATTTGTGTATATATGTATATATGTGTTTGTGTATATATGTGGTTTTGCGCATGCATTGTGTGTTTTTTTTGCTTTTTAAGTCTCTTCTGCTGTGTTTTTCAGTGTTTTTATGAGTGATGGTCACTTGTTGGCCTGATAGGTGTATTGTGTCCAAATTTGGTGTCAATTCGTCCAGTGGTTTTTGAGTTATGTTAATCCCACAAACGAACATTACATTTTTATTTATATACTAGCCATCCCTGCCACGCGTTGCTGTGGCCCACATGGGGGTTCTGTGTGGGAGGTTTGGCCCAATTCTATCGTTGGTGGGGTTCAGAATGCTCTGTGATTGTAGGTGAACTATAAATCCCAGCAACTACAACTCCCAAATGTAAGGATTCTATTTTCCCCAAACTCCACCAGTGTTCACATTTGGGCATATTGAGTATTCTTGTAGATTTTGGTCCAGATCCATCATTGTTTGAGTCCACGGGGATCTTTGGATGTTGGTGAACTACAACTCCAAAACCAAAGGACACTGCCCACCAAACCCTTCCAGTATTTTGGTCATGGGAGTTCTGTGTGCCAAGTTTGGTTCAATTCCATCGTTTGGTGGGGTTCAGAATGTTCTTTGATTGTAGGTGAACTATAAATCCCAGCAACTACAACTCCCAAATGACAAAATCAATTTTTTGAGTGAAGGACATTCATTGGGTTGTTAGGTGTCTTGTGTCCAAATTTGGTGTCAATTCGTCCAGTGGTTTTTGAGTTACGTTAATCCCACAGACGAACATTACATTTTTATTTATATAGATTATTATTATTATTCCAATATCCATAGGTTCTGAGAAAGACAAGTCAGTTCAGTTAATGGTTTTCCCAAGACTGAGTGAAAACATTGTTCTAAACTACTCTATAAAATATATTTTGGTGTGCAGAAATATAGGGTAAGAAGTAATATCATCTCATACTCTTTTTAGTTACCTGTTTTCTCCATTCAATTACAGATCCTCACTCATCTCGCCAGATGGTAAAGCAAGAACATCGAAGAGACGCCAAACCCAGGAATCCCACCAGAGAAAAATCAAATAGTCAGCTCACCTCTGGCAGTATTCAACAGTATTTCAGTGCAGCATCAACATCCACGCCTCTGCCTGCAGCGAGTAAGAAGTGTAGGGCCAAAACAAAATGGCATCCCAAGGGGCTGATGGATGAGACAAACCAACCTATTGCAGTTGGTCCCCAGCAAGATGTGGTCTTGGTTGAGGTCACTGGGCCAACTGGATTGGAGCCGCAGAAGGAAACCGTTAGCTGTCCTTCTGGAAAAGATATCAGCTGCATCGTGATTGAGGAATGTCCCACACAACAGCAGTCTCACACTCACAAAGACATGGAGAATGTGACAAGAGAAAACATGGAGCCTTCGACATCAGATGTAGCTACAGAAACAGATGCCGGTGATGACAGTCTCTATTTCACACCCGAACTTTACGATGGTGGTGTTGAGGAAGAGGAAAAGGAATGGCTTGCGACCCCGTGCAGTGACGCTGGGACCTTCTTTGAAACGGCAAACTCCATTCTCGTTGAAAACACTGTTCCTGACCCAGTCGAGGAAGTGGCCAGCGTTAAAACGGGCGCGGGGTGGCAAGGCGCCATGATAAGTGGCGAGAATAACGAAGATGCAGTCAGAGCAGCCGGAGAGAGTCCTAGGATAGGTCACATTGAGCAGGAAGGAAAGGAAAGGAAAAGCAGACTTTCTCGATCGCAGAAGAAAGGTGTGTCTCTGTCTCAGTTCAGTTATCACTGAAAGTTCAGGGGGAAATTAGTTTTTGAGGAGGAACCTCCAAGATATGATGTTTGCCTTATGTTAGGGATGATTAGTTTTTCCCACAGCCAGACTAACCAATATCTAAATGCAAATCATCCAATGCGAACTTGAAAACACCATCCTGGAAACAGGAGGAGACGGACTTTATGGCCCAAAGTCTTCTGCATGTTTCTGTGTTCGATAACACCAATTTAACCCAGTGGGGCACACAGGGTCCAGGTTGAAGCCCTTTAGGAAGAAAGCCGTGTCTCCTTCCTAAAACGCCACGGGGGAAATTAAAAAATCGCCTCACATTGATTTGATGGCAGTATCTTGCTGTTTATCCTTGGAATGACCCGCGGTTTGTAATTACATCATTGGGACGCTTTGTTTTCGGGGGGAAAGGGTTACAGCCAAGTTCGTAAAATGCTCTTCTCCTGTGGAGGAGAGGAGACACGAGGCTTATATTGGTATACGGTTCTTTCCAAACTGTGAAATCTGAAATAGGCCACGGGGGAAATGAAAATCGTCCCATGAACAGCTGACTGTGTCATGTTTACTGTTTTCAAGGAGAGCTTTCTAAATAGCACACAGATTTAGACACCAGTCAGTAGCCTACCTTGGGTTGTTGTGTGTTTTCCGGGCTGTATGGCCATGTTCGAGAAGCATTCTCTCCTGACGTTTCGCCTGTATCTATGGCAGGCATCCTCAGAGGTTGTGAGGTTGTGTAGCCCAAAAGGATATGACCAACCCAATGACAGAGTCTATTACTTTTAGAAAATATATTTTTATTGCATTTATATTTATTTCATTACAAAAAACCATCTCTACAATTAATGTAATTACTTCTTCTCCTTTCCCCCGTTGTGCGACCCCTTGACTTCTTCTTTCCTTTATGCTCCCACCAGAACCTCATTTCTTCTGGTGGGGATTTGTTCCCATCTTCTTTCCTTAATGTTTCTACAATAAATATTTCCATATATTTTCAAAATCATTATTCTTCCTTAGGCCTCTTTTGACCTTTAGATTGCATGTTAATTTATCATTTATTGCTAATTTCCAAATTTCCTTGTACCATTCTTCTATCTTAATTTCCATCTCTCCTTTCCAATATTTTGCTATTAGTAGCCTTGCAGCCGTTAACAACATCGTTATCAGATTCTTTTCATTTTCCTTCCATTCAATCCAGTATCGTTGCCGGATTTATATTATTATTTTTTCTTCATAATACTTTCTATTTCTACTATAACTTTTCACCAGAAACTCTGTACATGTTTGCATTGCCACCACATAGAGATATATGTACCCTCCGACATTTTTCTGAACAACCCTCATCCATATTGTGTATCTTTGTCTGGGTCAGGTACCATTTCCATCCCATCTTGTAATAGTTTTCTTTTATCCTAATTGATAAATTCTTCAGGTGTCTTGCTCTCCATAATTTTTCCCAATTCCTTTCTCCTTGTTTTATTCCCAATTCTTCCTCCCATAGTTTCCTTGTTTGTATCCCTTTCCTCCCCAGAGAACAGAATCTATTACAAAAACCCAGTTAAATATGTGAGGTCTCACAACCTCTGAGGATGCCTGCCATAGATGCAGGCAAAACGTCAGGAGAGAATGCTTCTCGAACATGGCCATGCAGCCCGGAAAACACACAACAACCCAGCGATTCCGGTTGTGAAAGCCTTCGACAACAGAGTAGCCTACCTTCTCTGTTTTGTCCAGTGTCTGTCGTGAACTACAAACCAAAAACCAAGTTTTGTCATGGAGAGTGACAAAGCTGACCATATTCTTCATGACCTTACCTACGATCCTCAAATTATTGATAGCACTTAATGACCGAAATAAATGATTTGATTTGATTTGATAGCACTTGCAGCCATTTAAAACATTAACATCAAGCTCCATATTCAACAGACCCATATCATCAGCTTTCTGGAAAATGTCGACATTCAACAATTGGCGCTTGACTTCTACCAAAGTATTTGGAATCTCTCTCTTTTCTCTCTCTCTCTCTCTCTTTTTCTCTTCTCTCTTTTTTAATACAAATATGAAAACCAATAAAAATTAATTTTAAAAAAGTATTTGGAATGTGAATCCTAAGAGTCAGTTTTGGTCAAATACCGAGACATTTCTAACAGAATATAGACATTATTCTAGTAGTATTGTCGAAGGCTTGCATGGCCGGAATCACTGGGTTGTTGTAGGTTTTTCGGGCTATACTAGAGAAAAAATCCACTTAAAATCCGGCTTCTGCCTCCTGCAGAATTCTGGGGTTTGTAGTTTAGGGGGGAGCCTTTAACAGCCTCACTAAACTACAAACTCAGAATTCTGCAGGAGGCAGAAGCCGGATTTTAAGTGGATTTTTTTCTTCTAGTGTGAAGAATTTTAGCAAACTTGGAGCTGAACGATGCTCCAAGTATATACATTCATATGGCAGAACAGACAAACAAAATAATGGTAGAAATTTGGCTTAGGGCCCTTCCACACAGTCATATAGCCCGGAATAGCAAGGCAGGAAATCCCACAATATCTGCATTATCTGAGCCCACACGGCCATATATCCCAGTTCAAAGCAGATAATGTCAGATTTTATTCAGCTGTGTGGAAGGGCCCTGAGTTTGAGGAATGCCTAGCTAAGCTATTGATCAAAGAAGAGCATGAAATAATCACCAAATCCTGAATTTGTTGAAGGGCTGAAAGTGCAGAGAACCTATAAACGAAGAATCAGGCAGCGCATCTAGGAAGGGAGGTGAACGCACCAGACAAAGGTAAAGCTAGATTTAAGTGTATGACAACAGCGGAAGCTTGCGCTTTCTCTCTGTTAACAATGTAGCATGATGTTATGATGCAGCTTAATTAAAAAATACTTTGGGAGTAATTTGAAAGTACAAGCCATGATTTGTATTGTCAAAGGCTTTCATGGCCAGAATCACTGGGTTGTTGTAGGTTTTTCCGGGTTTTTTCTAGAACATGGCCATATAGCCCGAAAAAACCATACAACAACCCAAGCCATGATTTCTTTTCTCTTCTGTGGAAGATTTTGTGGTTAACAATACAAACCAGACTTTGCCTGAGATGCCAACATGCCAAAGCTTCCCGGTTCATGAAAACAGATAAACTTGGTTCTTACGTTACTCCTGAAGTGCAAGGGGGGAACCCACTTTGCAAAAATCATGAAAACATGTATTGTCAAAGGCTTTCATGGCCAGAATCACTGGGTTGTTGTGTGTTTTCTTGGCCGTCTGGCCATGTTCCAGAAGCATTCTCTCCTGACGTTTCACCTGCATCTATGCCAGGCATATGTGAGTTCTGAGGACATCAAATTTGAACCTCACAACCTCTGAGAATGCCTGCCATAGATGCGTTAGGAGAGAATGCTTCTGGAACATGGCCATGCAGCGCTGAAAACACACACCAACCCACCATGAAAACACCTTTTATGTCAGCACCCACTTGTCTATTAATTATCTGTTAAAGAAATTTACATTGGTATACGCGATAAAAAAAATCAGAGGTAAGAAGGGCAAAGGTTCGCATATTGATTTGGAATTGGTAAGCCGATATTTGGATACAGACAGACCTTTTGGCATCTTAATGGAAGAAATCTACCAACTCTTCATATGTCCCCATTTGGAAAGCGTGAATGCATGGCCAGGGATAAAAACATGTCTCTTGCATAATGCACGCCTGTTGAGCAAGTCATTTACTTTAATACGATAATATTTTTATTAGCAATGAAGCAATAAAATATTGATCCAAATGGGCCTGTTCTTTCAGAGCAATGACTAATTTATTTTAGTTGGAACCCGTGATTGTCGTCGGCGCATTAAGTGACGAGAGAGCAATAGGTTCGCTCTTGAAATAATTATTACGGTGTGCATTTAGACACTTCGCTCATAATGCTAGTTTAAATCCCTGTTGCTATTTTATGTTGAGGAACCAAATGATCAAAGTTACAACTCGTAAGCTGTGGTTGTGTTGTTATCTCTCCCAAGCTGAGAAATTCTGCCTGAAATAGTTAGTAAGGTGACATTGATCATCGCCACGATCCCTTGGATAAGCTCAGTAGGCCATTCCTGTTTTGAATTCTGTACATTTTTGAGAAATATCATGAACAATATGTCAGGAACGTTTTCTGAATGGTTGGATGAGAATTTCATTTCGGTTCGGTTTAGATCAGGTTTTGTAGGTGAAATGAAACAACCACATCAGGTAAGTAAACAAAAAAAGATCTATAGAGGTGATCTGAAATCTTTTTCCAAAATGCCTCCATTGATTAATTTTTCATGGATGATTGACCAGCCTGCATTTTTAGAACTTAGTTTTCAACGGCCAAATCTATAGATCTGTGCATGTTACAAGGGTTGAATGAAAAGTAATGCCTCCACCATCGTAACTCCTCAACAGATGGCAGCACTAGTATGCAGCAGGTACTGGCTTGTTCAGTAGACTCTCCTCTACAGTTCCATTTTTGCGGGAAGCCTTAGCATTGAATGGTTGTGTTGTTAAAGTGTGAAGTATGGAACCCTGAGCAGATGGTCGGTCAATGTGACTTAAGCAACATGCAGTCATTGAATTCTTGACAGCAGAAGGTGTCACCCCAAAGGAGATTCATCAGAGAATGCAAGCTGTTTATGGTGATTGTGTTGATGTGAGTACTGTGCGTGGTTGAGCGAGTAAGTTGAAAGATGTTGAGGTGAGAACATCTGACTTACATGACAAACAGAGAGTTGGACGTCCTGTGACAGCAACCACCGAGTTTCACAAGCAAAATTATTATTATTATTATTATTATTATTATTATTATTATTATTATTATTATTAAACTTTATTTGTACCCCGCTAGCATCTCCCAAGGGATTCGATGCGGCTTACAACAGGCCGGAGCCCAGCACAACACAATACAACAATACAATATATAGCAAATAAAACAGTTCAAGCAGAAAAACAACAGCAATAACAATACAACAGGACATTATTAAAACTGAGCCGGCTGAAGTGGGGTACAGGGTTAAAAGTGCTGAGAAAAGTGTCGGAGGGATATGAGATTAAAGTATAAGTGCAGTGTGCGTTGAGGGTGATCTTGACTCTACTAAAGTGCTTCTGGGCTTTGGTAGGGGGTTCCTAATCTGAGAAGGCACGTTGGAATAGCCAGGTTTTCAGGTTTTTTCTAAAAACCGCCAAGGTGGGGGCCTGTCTGAGATCTTTCGGGAGGGCATTCCAGAGGCGGGGGGCCACCACAGAGAAGGCCCTGTCCCGCGTCCCCACCAAACGCGCCTGCGAGGCAGGTGGGATCACGAGCAGGGCCTCTCCTGATGACCGGAGCGAGCGTGTGGGTTCGTAGACTGTGATGCGGTCTCGTAGGTAGGATGGTCCCAAACCGTTCAAGGCTTTGTAGGTAAGCACCTGCACCTTAAATTGGGCTCGGAAAATAAACGGCAGCCAGTGGAGCTCCCTAAACAGGGGGGTTGACCTCTCTCTGTAAGGGGCCCCTGTTAGCATCCTGGCTGCTGCCCGTTGGACCAGTTGGAATTTTCGAGCCGTTTTTAAGGGCAGCCCTACGTAGAGCGCATTGCAGTAGTCCAGTCTAGAGGTGACTAAGGCATGGACCACCCCGGCCAGATCAGCCTTCGCGAGGTACGGGCGCAGCTGGCGCACAAGTCTCAGTTGTGCAAAAGCCCCCCCGGCCACCGCCGACGCCTGAGCCTCAAGCGTAAGCGATGAATCCAGGAGGACTCCCAAGCTGCGGACCTGTGGCTTCAGGGGGAGTGTAACCCCGTCCAACACAGGTTGCCACCCTATACCCCGGTCTGGTTTGCGATCAACCAGGAGGACCTCTGTCTTGTCGGGATTGATCTTCAGCTTGTTTGTCCTCATCCAGATAGACACAGCGGCCAGGCACTCGTCTAGCACCCGAGAGGCCTCCTTGGAATTAGATGGAAAAGAGTAGTAGAGTTGTGCGTCATCTGCGTAGAGATGGCACCCAACTCCAAAACTCCGGATGACCTCTCCCAGCGGTTTCATGTAGATGTTAAAAAGCATGGGAGATAGAACAGAGCCTTGCGGGACCCCACAGGTCAAAGGCCAGGGGTCCGAGCAGGCATCTCCCAGCTTCACCATCTGGGTTCGTCCCTCCAGGATTGACAGATTGATTCAGGACGATCGTCGTATCACTCAGAGAGAAATTTCAAGCATAATCGGCATTTCACAAGAATGTGTGGGTCACATTATTGCTTTGCTTGGCTATCGGAAGATCTGTGCACGATGGGTACCCAGGATGAGAGAACTGTGAGACGCTGGTTGTGGAAACAGAGTGTCGACTTCTGTGACGGCTTCAGAAAACTTGTTCATCATTGGCAGGAATGTATCCGGTTGTCTGGTGATTATGTGGAAAAGTGAATAGTGGTAGTTAAAGAGCACATTCTAAGGATTATTTACGTGTTTGATTTATTAAAATATTCTCATCCAAACCCAAGTAACAAAGGTGGAGGCATTACTTTTCATTCAACCCTTGTAGAAGGCAAATGCTTCCCCACTTTCCCTCTGCTTTGTTGTTCACACTACTTCAATAAGAGATATAAGGGGGCAGCTGCTGTTTACATTGTCTGTTGTAGGCAGGTAGCTAGACACATGGTAAGTAGGAAAAAACAGCATGGGGTAAGTTAAAAAGCAGGTAAAACAAAGTGTGTTTTGTTAACTGAGATGTGACTATAGAAAATTTCTAGATGTGAACAGCTTTCAGCGTCCCACTCTGCAATGCTAGTCATTTTGGGGAGCAGTTGCACAGCGGGTTAAACTGCTAAGCTGCAAAACTTGAATCCTCAGGACGAGGTGAGCTCCTATTGTTAGCCCCAGCTTCTGTCAACCTAGCATTAACTGAGATGTGACTATAGAAAAGTTCTAGGCATCCCACTCTCTGCAATGCTAGTCATTTGGGGGAGTGGTCACGCATCGGGTTAAACTGCTAAGCTGTAAAACTTGCTGACTGGAAGGTCGGCGGTTTGAATCCTCAGGACGGGGTGAGCTCCCATTGTTAGCCCCAGCTTCTGCCAAGCTAGCAGTTCAAAAACATGGAAATGTGAATAGATCAATAGGTATCGCTTAAGCAGGAAAGTAACGCCAATCTATACAGTCATGCCAGTGGCTACATGACCTTGGAGGTGTCTATGGACAACGCTGGCTCTTTGGCTTAGAAATGGAGATTAACACCAACCCCCAGAGCTGAACTCAACAAGACTTAATGTCAAGGGGAAATATTTACTTTTACTAGGAATATTTCATGGGAGGAAGACATCTTATTTAGGGGTCAGTCCTTCATTTTTGGACCCCTTTTCTGGAAGTACAGAGGCCAGAAGCTCTCCAAATATTGGCTTGGGGGGGGGGGGGGGGGACCTATGAAGGGCTGCACCTGTGACTTGGCTCCCTTGGCAGGAGATGACAGTGAGGTACACCACCGCTCAAGCATGGCTTGCACTCCTAAAAGAAACCTAGACAGTTTATCGGCATGCAGTTACATCAGAAGACAAAAAGAGACCCTGCAGGTATCTCCATAACGTTACAAACTTTGGCTGGCATCCTAAAAGCTGTTCTAAGCACGTCCAAAACATTCTGTGTTTTGTGTGTGTGTCTCCAATGGAACATTACACTTTTCTTTGAACAGCAGAACCTGTCACAGACTTGTTTTGAAAGGCTTCTTGGGAAAAACAACAATGAGTTTTATGGCACCTTAAAAACTTAACAGGTTTATTATTGGGTTGTCTTTTGTGGACACAGCTGACTTCATGAGATGCATGAAGTGTTATCCCCCATTGACAAGTCTCTATACACATTGGTGGGTCTTGTTATTGTTGGGATTGTAAACAGTGAGATCAGAGGAAAACAAACTGCAGAGTTGCCCCGTCAGTAGTCATTCCTAAAGCAGTCTTTGGGTGAGCTTGAGTTGGGAAACTGATTAGAGGGCCAACCCTCCTCTCAGGCAAAGTGAAGCCACTGCCTCAGGCTGCAAATA